ACGTGTATGCTATACGCAAATATATGTGCTCTCAACATAACCAACACACTTCAAGAGCATATAAACCTCATTCTGGAGTATTTCCAGAAATTAAAAATAAAAATCAATAATGAAACAACTAAGGCAGTTAGTGCTCAATTTAATATCGTCTCACATTTTTTTATATATATGTTAATGGTTATTGTAAATAGTTTTAAAAGATAGTCAAAATCTTGAAATATGTAGAATGTAAATATAATTCTTAATAATTGAATAAAACTCACATGTATTGTATATAATATAAATTTGAACATTAGATTATCCTAATAATTATTAGAAAAACATTAAAATTCAAGTAAAATATAAATATGTATATACATTTAACTTAAGGCTTGAAATAATGTTGCCTTAAAAGATAAAATTGAACGTACAAAGTATTAACTTCTAGATTCACTCGTTATTCTAATACTAATCAATATTACTCATATTTAAGCAAAAGTTATGCTTGCAGTAAACTGTACTTATACCCATAACAGATTTGAAGTCTGATTCTTGATTACTGATTATCTGATGTCTAAAAGCCATTTCTTATTCTCGTTATTCCTTTATAAAAACCGAGTCAATGTGGTATATGCAGAGTTAGGCGATTAAAGTGTTACCTATACAAGCGGCCATATCCTTTTTGTGTGAAATTATTTTTTATTGATTCAAATTACAAAAATTTGTAAAAATAAATAAAAATTTCAGAAACCATTCACTCTGTGGCCATCTTTTGCCTTGACTATGGCCTTCAAAGGACTTAAAAAGGAGTTGCATTCCTAAACATTCCTAAACAATGGCTTTCTTCAACGCAAACATACTGGCATATTTTTTGATCCTCACCTTGCTCTCCAAAATGGCCCAGATGAAATAGTCTATTGGATTTGCATCTGTCGAATTCGAAAGACATTGTATGGACGAAATGAAGCGTGGAACATGATTTTTTTGTTGCAACGTCCATGGTCTACAACCTACTGTTCTAAAACAACCACCAATATATTTTTTCGATAGTCGCATTGACTTTGACACCAGGCTCGATGAAAACGTTTAGAGAGAATCTCTATCGACGATCACAACTGTCCATACCATTACTTGAGGAGTAAAATTACTTTGGACAGCCAAAGGTAGTCTAATATTTTCGACAATGCGTTCAATAAAGTAAACGCGATCATTTTGAGATTTTATGAATTGCTCAATGGGAAAATTTTTCATCTCATCAGAAAACACAATGTTTGAAAATTCGCCACGTTCGTGCAAGCGTAACAACTTTTTTGCTCCTTCCCGTCTAATTTTTTATTGCTTTGGTGTAAGATCTTGTGCCTTTTGGAAATTGTAAGGGTTTAGCTTGAACTCATTTGAGAGTATGCGCCGGACGCTTTGCTGGGATATTTTCAGTTCTTTGACCATTTGATTACCACTACGATGTGGATTTGGTTCAAGTTGAGCCTTCACTTTCCGAACCATTTAAGGGGATCTTGCTATTTTTTTTTTCATCTACTATAACGGTTTATGGTACGATACTCACAAACATTTTATTCACTTTGAGGTATCTGAGCTCACGTACAATACCTGGTTGTGATTACGTTTGAATTCCATTTCGAATAGTTTTTGTTCTATAAAACTTAGATGCAAATGCTTTTATTAGCTTTTGAACAATATAAACAGCTGTCATTCCTATGAATTTCACGTAGTTGCTAATATCAGTTTGAAAGATATATCTGTGTACAGTTGGTAATAAATCAATTGACTAACCGTGTAGATTATATTCATATTAAAATGTTTAAAGTGAGGTATTTTATTGAAATATTGAAACTCCTTTTATATTAAAAACAATTGATCTAATAATAATAATGATATACTATAATATTTAATAGCATTTTTTTTTCTTATATAAGTTTTTTCTTTCTTTCTTTCAATGGTTAGGTGATCATTTCATAAAAACGTATTTTTCTTAATATGCAGTATTAAGAAACATGATCTATCATCAAAAACCTATGTTTAGTTTTTTAAAAAAAAATTGTTATTCCGTATCAAATGGAATTAATCAGTTATTTTCTCAAACCAATAAAACAAAACACTGTACCAGAAGAAATGAACCAGTGAGTGTTAAAACAACAAATCTAGTCTTTAATAGCACAATGAACCAATGTATCTTACACTGCTGAAATAGTTACGACCATCTCTTGGATTTCAGTTAACTTCAATTGACTCCCACACAAAATTTACTTAAGCTATATTTATTGCACTGATAATCCTTAAACGGTAACTTTGCTGCTCTTATATAATTCGGTATTATTAAATATGAGTAGAAACAAAGCGAAAATAGTACTGACGGAGTTCAAATCGTATCATTTACGTACTTTTCGTATCGTTTAAGTGGAGTCCAAAAAGGCAGCAGAAGCACAAAAAAGGCTTTTAACTGTCGGTCGGTCAATCGAAATTTGAACGCAGCTTAAGTAATAATTTTAGTTGAATTAAAACTTTGAATAGCAAAAAAATAAAAAATAAAAAATAAATAAAAACAAATAAAGAAATTTATAATAAACTACGAATTTCACAATTACAGAAATGGAAAAATCCATAACAAAAAAAAAATCGTTTTAAAAAAAAACATTTTAAGATGAACTTAGGCTTAACTAAACGTTTTTACAATTCGCATTACTTGGCAACTTTTCCTCTGGGGAAGAAAAATAAAATTGAATTTCGCTTTTGGACTTATGCATTTACGTTTCCGTGTCTGCTTCTGAAGCTCTTAGCCATTTACAGAAGTAATTATAGGGCGTTTGTATCTTTTTTGTGTTGTTTGTTCAGCATCTTCAACTCCCAAATGTGCCGCTTTACTCCTTTATGATGATTCTAACATTCAAACAATTTTAGAATATAACAAACAACTCAACCACTTTATTTACAAAAAAGATCAATTTAATATAAAAAAATTTAATGATTAAGCCTAATTGAGAATATAATGAAAAAATAAATAAATAGTGGAAAATGAAAAAGTTGAGATATAACATAAACAATACATAATTAATTAAAAACAAATTAGAAGTTTATTAAAAAAAAATAAGCATTAAAAATAAAAATCAGCAAAGATAGTTATTAAATAAAAATAAGCAAGAATTCAAAAAGTAATTAGAAATAAAATTATTTAAAAAATTCAACTGACACATCAGATTACATTATTCATGTGGCGTATACCGTTGACTAGCCTTCACCGAGTCCGGGTATTATCATTAGGCAATACACCGTGGGCATGAGTCGATAACCATGAAAATGGTTATAGAGCCATGACAGTGACCAAGCTCCAGTTAGGAGATAATTGGAGGTTTGGACACACAAATATGCAAATTCAAAAATGGATCAGGTTTAAGGGCGAGTCAGGGACCAACTCAAAGTAGATTACCAATGGGTTTTTTGCGTTATTCTTTGTTTCCAGTTAAAGAGGTATTTGTTTAATTACCTGTTTGTTAACTGTAATCAATTTATTTTATTTTTTCCAAAAAGCGAAAGTTTTCTTTTTCCCAAGTCTTGGCTTCTGCATAATAGTTGAGAACTTTTTAGTTCTTCCTATTACTCTTGCCAGAGACCGCAAAAAAACAAAACACCGCACAAAACTATATAAGAAAAATAGATAAATGAAAGTAAAATATATATAGGATACATAGTAATTTGTGAAGTAAATTTATTTTTTTCCCAACAGTATTCTTAATTATATTTTTTCACAATTAACCTCTCACTTAAGTCGCATCATCACTATATATTTTGATAGCCGATATAGCAAGCCTGGCCATTACCCACCCTATCCACCCCTTAACTTTCATATTATTTCCCTACTCATGTAATCGTCTTGTGTTTCCTTTCATGTTTATCTGCTTACAGGTCCCGGCGGGTTACAACAACAACAACAACAACAAAAGTGTTACAACAAAAAACCAGTAAAATATTAAGTTAATAAAGTTATGTTAAAAATAATATAGGTGTAATAATATATTGTGAAACATTCAATTTATATAAGGAAGTAAAAAACTATATGAATCAGTGTCGTTTAATTTTACACTTAAAAAATATTTTAATACATTAAATTAAAATATAATATAAAAATTTATTTAATGTGAAAAATAATGTATAATAGAATAAAAAAATAATATAGTAAAAAAATAATATAATAAGAAAATTAAAAAAATTGCAATATTGAAAAAAAATATTGCAATAAAAAAAATAATATAATAAAAATTAAATATATAGTAATAAGCCCTTCATTTAAATATAATAAGATATAATATTGTAATTAAATATACAAAAAAGTTAAAAGAAAAAATCAAATCAGTTAAACATTACGTTAAGTTAATAAATTTATGTTAATAATAAAATAATAAGATTAAAAAAATAAGAATAAAACAATAAGAATTAAATAATCAAGGTTTAAAATAATCAACCGTTTAAATAATCAAGTGTTAATAAATAAATAGGAACTAATGTAGTAAAATACATATCACTACAAGGGAAATAATAAGAGCTCTAGAGAAACGCAGCGGATTCATAGATGGTCAATATACAATCTGTATCAGATGCCACTTTATAACTGACGTGACGTCTTTTTCTATTTAATAAATTCATATATATACAAATCAATGAAATAATAATAAATTGATTTTTAACGTCCGTTTTGATGAAAGAAAATAAATTCTTAATATAAAATTAATATAAATAAATTCTTAATATATTGTTTTTACTAGAGAGGTATTTCGAACTGTATTTAATTACAACAATGAAATCTCGTTATTTTAATTTAATTATTCAACTCAATTTAAATTGAATTAATTAGAATAAAAAAAATTTTATTATTGAAATAATAAATAAAAAAAAAAAACAAATCCTAAAATAATCCTAAAATGGAGGCATTCAACATTATATTTTATAAATTATGTTATTATTAAATAAAATACAAACAGTTACTTATCTCGTTACTTATCTCATTCATCTCAAGCCGCCTTTTAGTTTCATTACACATTTTTATATAAAATATTGTACTTACCGAGTATTCCGCTTGTTGTCGCTGCAATTCTGCACAGCTAAAGTGCGCTGCTTGTGACAAGGATGGTGCATTTGATAGCTTCTGTTCCATTTCACGTAACCACTTACGTAAGTCTCTTGGATCCTCACAGAAACTTTCGTTACGATTTGTTTCATTAAGTATCTAAAAATATGCAATAGATTTTGTATTTAAAAATTACAATCCACAGACAGTCATGCACTGTATTATCGACAAACCTACCTTATAACAAAAATCAACTGCTTGAACGGTTGGTTCACCTTCAATTTCACAGCGAGCTTCTTTGCAAGTGTCTAGAAGGTTTGTGTCCATAATATAATTGTAATTAGTTTGTATTACAGCCCACAAATCATCTTTACCGGAACCTGAAATTGGTAAGGAAAATGCTAAGCAGATGTCGTAGTCGTGTGGAACATAATTTGAAATAGATAATTGGATATAAAATAAATGTGGAACTTGTAGAGATAAAATTAAGAAGATAAATGAGAATATGATATTGAGAAAAGAAAAAAATAATTAAACAAATCTTATGCAAAAAAGCAAATAAATACGTAATTCTACTCGTTGTTTCAAAGTACAAAGTTAATTAATAAGAATTTACACATAAAATACTATATTTTTAGCACAAAATATCTAATTTCTAGTATTTATCTCTATATTATTTTATAGTATTTATTTAAAAGGGCTCGTGCCATATTTATAGAAAATGAAGAAACACAAGAGATAGCTACTTGGCCATTGTTTCCACATATAATAATATATTAAGGTCGTGTGCGAGTTAGGCTAAGTTGCGTTCTAAATGAGGGAAATTCTAAGTTGTGCCGATAATGTCGTGATGTGTCGATACGTGTTGATAAATGGCTAAATGTGTGCAGTGCAAAAAATCCCAAGAAAAGTCCCATTTGGTTTAGCATCAACTTAGCCTAACTCGCACACGTCCTAAGTATGTTTGTTTCTGTAAAAAATGCCAAAATCCGTGAACCGAACTTTACATTAAAGTAGTATTGAATAATCTTAACAATTAAAAATATACATTATCAAAGAAAACTCTACTAAAAACAGCACCACTGAGGTTTTGGAAACCTTAATGGTTTATTACTTGTTGTTCTCAGTTATTTAGCGTCAGTTATTTAATCTGTCTTATAATCCATTACGAACGCTTTAGTCTCATTTAAATTCCCTTTTTTAAACTCAATAAATGTGGCTAAATGTTACGAGGGTCTAAACGACATTTCTTTGAAAAATTTTAAAGTACTTTTTAAGGTATCATGGTACATTAGGACGAATGACATCCTCAGGGAGCTTAAGATTGATCCGATCAAAAAATACATAAATGATGGAGCCCTGAAATTATTTGTGAAAATTGGCAAGCTAACCAACACTGCGTTATCGAATCTCAGAATGGGAGGTATGCAGATTTGAGGTCAATTAATGCTTAGCATGATGAAGTGATAAACAATAATCCAAACAAGACGTAGAGAAGGATTATGAAGAAACCTCGCAGTGAATAGCGAGTAAAAGTCCTCAAGTGCACTGACTCAACTAACCTCAACATAATAAATAAAATTAATAATCTTTAAATTTGAAATTATGTATATTTAAAATTATATGATATTTATTTAAAGGTATTTAAAGGTATTTAGTCTAAATCACTTTTGTGTTAGTTATTAAGGTTTTTATGATTGAAGAATTTTAAGTGTTAAATTTTGCATAACACTCTCGACTTAATTAAAATTTGAATCGATTCTCTCTCTTCTACTTTATTTTTAATTTTTCGGACCAAAGAATCAACTGTTGAACTTATATCACTCATATTAAGAAAAAATTTATTTAAAAATATATACATGTTGTTGTTGTTGTTGTGATTTGAGGTAGTACTATTGCGCACTTTTACTCTATTGTGGCTGGGGAGGTTATCCCTGCCCCACACTAAACTTTAACTATACTAGAATCATTATCATTTATTTATTTTCTATATAATGTTATAATGACTAACACATGCTTAACTGAAGTTGTCATAAAAATCGGATGACACAGTTTACCCAAATTATAAACAGTTTTTATTAATTGCCAAATTTTCGGTTAAAGAAAATTGAACAACAATTGAAAAAATCGAAATTTATTCAACCCAAATCAAGTACAACATTGGCTCGGTAGTCCATCATGTGAGTATGCGTTTCAAATATGACAGGGATCAACGTTTGGCATTAAATATGATATATTTTTTATAAACATTATTTACACAATTTTATATTTAAACCAATAAATTACTACCAAAAAAATTACTTTTAATTTATATTAAATTGTACGGACTGGATCGAAAACAGCTATATGATGAACTAAAAAATATACCTTATTATTAACCAATATTTTGTAATGAAAACGATTATAAAAAAAATAAAAAAAAAAAAATAGCAGGGTTAATAGAAGAGAAAGAAAAACCAATAGCAAAAGAGACGTTTCAAGAAAACGAATTTTTGACAAGAACTTTCAATGTATTTTCAAATAAAAACATAGCGTAGCAATAAATGCTAAAACTTCCAAGGAGTCTGTTAGAAATGAAGTCTGAAAGAATTAGTTAACAATTATATTATATCAATACAACTATAGCTCAAGGCAATTTCAATCTTGTACACTTAATATATAATCTAGGAATTTTTTTTTATACAAGTCATTTATTACACAAAAATAGGGCTGCTATAAACATTTTTATAACAGGTAGAAGCACTTTTTTTTAATATTTCAAAATACAATATGGTTCAAAAATCTGGTTTCTTGTAAATTCTTAATATAATAGTACTAGAATCAAGATCTTTGATCATTTAATTAACATTTACTTACCAAGCCCAAGTGTAGCATTACTGTGTAAACTAGATGAACTATGACTATAACCACTTCCCCATGAGTAGCGATGATTTTTACTATTTGGAAGAGTGTGGCAAACATTGGTCTCGACTATACGACGTTCCGTTGTTTTCTACAAATAGAAAAGATTAAATGACAAATTAATTATTAAAAAAAATTTTGAATTTGACCGTTTAATTGTCGTTCAATTTACACCATGTAAATGCATCGTTATTAACATATATAACAGAAATCAATATAGATACATGCATATTTATATTTAGATAGCGTAAGATTATTATAAAATAATGAAATCACAAAGTTGAACTTTGCTCATATATTATAATTAAATATATTACTAAAAAGATCTGACCTTGAACCTATATTTAAAGAGTTTGGTTTTTATGAAATCCTGCATATTTTAGAAAAGTTCTGAGAGCGTTCATTTAACATAACAGGCTTAAACTCTATTTACATTGATCAATAGTATAAATTAATTTATATAAATATATATATTTATTAAAAAATCGAATTTACATACAATTTTTTTATTTTGTACGTATACCAATGCCAAAACCCAACTGAAAGTTATGCGACGTTTTCTAGATATTTCAATACACTATTTTCTGCTCCACAAAACACGAAATGGTAATAAATCATTTGGAAAAGATTTGCTATACTCTATATAACCAAAAAATTCAGCTAGAGAAAGTTTTTATTTGTGAATCCCATATATATTTAAAGAATATATATGGCATATATCTTTGGGGCATATATTTAAATAAATTGATAAGAGTGGAGCACTTACAGCAATACGGTCTGGCTCTTGTTATGCAGCCAGGCTATATTCCAAAATAATATTAGACATAGCTGTACTATATTTTAGATAATTGAAAGTATTGAAAATTAAAGAATACACAATTCAGTTCGAGTTATAGTAATTATAAGCTCTTGCCGCATTACCGAATCATTAAGTCTAAGCTGTTCTCTCACAGCTATCCGGATTACTTGAAGCTCTTGTGAAAAACGGCCTGAACTTAATTAACATAAACACCGTACAAGCACCGTACATATGGTAGCATCATAACTACGTCAGATTACATACTTTTTAGTTGAAATTTAAATAAGCTTAGATAAAAAAAGTTTTGATACATTCGCCATATAAACTAACACCATTTCTCGACTATTTGTTTTTGTTTGTTCAAAGCACCCGTAAGTAGTTGTATTACATACTAGACTACAATATTATTTGTTAAAGTACTTAACCTATAAATGCTAACTGTCGTATGTTGATCTAATTATGGATTTGTCTAATGGCAAAAAAATAATTATAAAAACTAACATCAAGAAAAATAGACACTAATCGATATAATAAATATTAAAAATAAAACGGGTATCACGTTGTGTACTTTAATTCATTTTTGCATAATTTCTATAAAAACTGACAGCATTTCAAATTTATGACTATAAATGATCTTTAATTATATTAGTTTTTTTAATATTTCATAATAAAAATGTTACAATAATTAAATAGTTACATTAAATAAAAAGTGACAGCAAAATGACTAAAATGACGAAAATTATAAGCTATCAACAATACAGATACATGATATTAGGATTCATAAACGTAAATGTTGTAATTGCATAGTACAGATAAATGTTTCATATAAATAAAAAATTGTATATAATATGCATGTTTATTATATGTCTTATATTTTAAGAAAAAAAAATTTAAATTTAATATTTGAAAAAAAAAATTTTTTTTATAAAAGAAAAATTAATAACAATAAATCAGAGACATATATTTTTTATGTACTGCATATATACTACTTTATTAAATATGAAGTTTTATTATTCTATACGGATCGGTTAAAAAAACGCACTTTTATTATTTATGTTATGTAGCTATAATAATATTGTTTATAAAAAATATTTTGAATTGGAGCGATAACTTGCCGCGTGGAAGACTATTGCGAAGCGATAACTTCTGTAGTATAAAACGTTTAAGGGCCTAACGTCGCCTTTTACAGATGTACACTACACAATTCAAAAGAAAGGGAGATTAACAGTGCGAAAGCGATAGAAAGAGAAAGAGACAGAAAGTAAACCAGAAAGAAAGCGCGAGTGAGAAAGCCACAGAAAGAAAGCGAAAAAGTGACAGAAAAAAACGACAGAGAGAAAGTGAGAGAGAATAGGAACGCAAGGCAGAACACTAAATAGAAGAGGAACGAGAAAAAGAAGAGAAGCGAGAAAGAGAATAACGAGTGAGAGAAGAGGAACGAGAAAGAGAAGAACGAGTGACAGAAGAGGAACGAGTGAGAGAAGAGGAGCGCGAGAGAGTAGAGGAACATTAGAGAGAAAAGGAACATCAGAGAGAAGAGGAAGATCGCGATAATGAAAGAGAAATAATTCTTACGACATTCATTTATTTATGGATATTAATTTGACATTATCAGTAGTCAACTCAATCCGTATCACATAAAAAGTGTGTCAAACAATATCAATAGCGAATCATCAGTCCTTACTAATCCAAGCAAATGGAAGGAAAAACACAAAAAGCCGCACCTTTTATTGAGTAACAAATTTAAATTAATTTTAAATCTGTTTTAGTTCTAATATATTGGGTGCTATATTTTTAAATTCCAGTGAGGATAACGTGAATTTCTAATTGGTAGCCGAAGCATCTTCCTTTAATTTTATATGTGAAATTGGAAGCTGAGTTCACTGACATTGCTACGCAAAGTTTGTTTTTACCGAGCAGAGGTCGGTGTTCGGTTTCAAATCAATGATGTTAAAGGGTTTTTATATCATCAAGTATATATATGTTTTTGTAAAGATTTCAGAAAGACTTTTCAAATGATATATAAATATTTGTGAACAGCAAATATACCTGTCCATAATATACCTGCACTAATTTAGTTAATCAACCCATATAGAAAAGTTATATTGCAATTTGGTCCACATACATCAAACTTAGAATGTGAAAATTAAGTGCATACACTATTCATAAGAATTAAAATTATTTATGTTAGTTAACAGAAGAAGAGAAGGAAACGATTTAAAAAATTAAGGAACCTCAAGATTAATACAAAATTACATTGAGAAAAAAAATAGAGAAATTGAATATGGAGTAAACTTAAGTTCATATCGAATCAAATGAATCTGTGAAATTGTAAGATATCTCTTTGCACATCACATAAAATAATTCACTAATAAATGAGTTCGAAAAAGTATAGATATCGGATATAGTACCCATTCTACGTATTTATCCGAAATATTTTATTTTGGTTTGACACAATAAGTGACTCTTTAAAGAAATGCATAAACGTATACATTCTTGATAAATACATAACATCTGAATGGACTTAAAAGTTATATTAAAAAGTGTTCAAACTGTAATCATTAGTTGCGTTCCTTATATATAAACTTTAGCTGGAACCAAAAAAATGCTGTTAAACCGCACTGACAAAGTAAGCACAATCGCTTTTTTAAGATATTTAAGAACATTATTTCTGTCCTTGTTTTTATTTTCATTATGTTAAATTCAATATAATTGTTGAAACTTAAATTAATTAAGCTTTGTAGTTAGGGTAATTTAAATTATGTTAAAATATTAGGTTTAGATTCTAGAATAAATGTATAAAAAGAAAACGTAATTTCATTGGGTATATTTCTATACACCAGAAATTTGAGACCACTGCAAAAAGTCTTGCAATATTCAGCTAATCAGGTAATTCAGGTAATTCATGTATTTAGAGTCATACGTAGATCACCTGAATATTGCGAGGTAGAACCTGTCGGAACTCAGGTGTGATAGAATCTACAACCTAATATCTCCAGCACTTACAATAGTTGCTAAAGTCGTTGTTTTTAACTGAACAGATAAACAAATACAGAAACTCTTGTTAATATCTTTGCTTTTTTTTTAAATGGACATATGAAATTATTTTTTAATCTAATTTAATTTTAAAATAAATGAAGACTATCTCTGAAGTCACTTTTAGTGCTCATAGCAATACAAAAACGAATTTTAAAAATGTTTTACTCTGTAAGCAGCTTTTGATTGAATAAACTTGCTTGGTATTTATTCCATTAAACACAATTTGCAATATTTATTGATATAACCTTTTGAACGTTTTAATAAATAAATCAAAATAAAACGATTGGAAATGATAAATTGCTTGTAAGTTTGCAAACTGAAATAGATGTTAATAAAAATATCTATCGGATATTACGCATGCTGCAAATATTTCAGTAACAAAACACGGCTTCATTTTTTTACCATTTTTTTTACATTGAAAAATAAGTGTAAAATATATAATTAAAGCTTAATGGAAAACCAGTTAAAGTTGTCGTTGGAATATATGAGCAATAATTGTAAATTTTATTATTTTTTTATTTTTTTTTTTTATTACATTTTTTTATTAGTCATTTAAAGTTAATGGTTAAAAAATTATAAATTATTGTCGTCTAAGTAGGAAACTAACAGCTTTAAACCAATAGCAAACAGCGATAACCCTCAACAAAAACTCGCCTCAATATTCAGTTCAATCAATTGGTATTTAATCAATCAGATAAAAAAAAGCTATTATACAATAAAAAAATATATATCTCATAAATTATACTCACAACTAACTGGAAAAAGTTAAAATAATATTACTACATATAAATAAAATTGAATATAAAATCTCTATAATATATATGGGCAGAAAATCACAAATATTTTAATTTAGTTAAGAGTCTACTTAAAACCTGATCAATTAACTTTTGAATGGTTATTTTCTTTTGCAAGTCCATTGAAGAAAAATGTATTTGCATTAAGTCAATTTATCACTTTAATATCTCTTCATTTACAGAAGTAAAAATTCTTGAATGTTAACAAACAGTAAAATTTCCCAAGAAATCCTAATGATTTTTAATGATTTTAATGAATATTTCGCATAACTGAAAGCTTCTTGAATGCTTGGCACTGTTAGTTTGCGGCGACGCAAAAATGCACTACAGCAGAATTTTTACGACCTTCGTTAAAGAAAATAGTTGGAGATATAATTGGAAGTTGTACATCTGCGGAATGAGGATTGAGCAAGAATTGACCAGGCTCAACATTTTTTGAACAGTTGCACAACTTTGAAGACATGGCATATTTAAATGCTAATGACTTTGCGTTAAAAAAAAAAATATTATTAGCTTAGACTTTGTAATCAAGAAAGAAATGGGAAATTTTTATATAATTGATTTTAAACTAAATTTATGAGTAATCTAAATTAACTTTTTTTTCATATTACGGTGTAAAAATCAGATAACTACGGGGGGCATCTTACAATTTAGAATGAAATAAAAAAAAGTCCCATTATTGGGTCAAGGCTGACTTGAAATCAGATACAAACTACATCACACATCTGAAACCAAAATTTTTAATTTTTTTACAATCGGCTGAAAGCCAAGATCTGGAATAAATATGATAATACTAATTACATGGTTGACTCAGTGATGGAGAAAGGTACTAGAACAAGTATTTACTCGAAGGGCTTACAGGCAGTCAAACACTCATACTGATTTTTAATCATTTGTAGCATTTTTCGTGCTAAGATATACATATTAGGTGTACCGGTATGAAATGAGCGTTTATTGGTGAAAATAAAACACTAATTATTAATAGGAAAGTAAAAAACATTTTATTCAAAGTATTGGCCATTGCTTTCTACACATTTTGACCACCTTTCTGGCAATTTGTGGATACCACGCCAAAAAAATTGTTCGTCTTTTAAAGCAAACCAAACAGAGACCCAATTTTCGACCTCCTCGTAGGAATCAAAGTGCTGCTCCGCCAATGCGTGTCCCATCGATGAAAACAAATGATAGTCGGAAGGAGCCAAGTCTAGTGAATACGGCGGGTGGGGTAGCAGCTCCCAGCCAAGTGTTTTGATTGCATCCTGAACCCGTTTTGCTTTGTGTGCAGGTCATGTCATGGAGCAGAATTACCTTGCCGTGTCTTCTGGCCCATTCTGGTCGTTTCTCGATCAATGCATGGTTCAAATTTAGTTAAAAAAACATGAAATTTAATACAAATTAGTATTGTACGATTTAATCTATGAATATTACCGTCTTTGTAGAGATTCAGACAAAAATAAGGGTTATGAAATCGAAAACAATGAAATTGAAGATTAGAATGAAATGTCGTAATTTACTACTGAACTCTGAACAAAATAAGGTCTGGTCTGTTTTTGTTAAGGTTCTAAATAAATTAATATATAAGGAAACAAGATTGCTAAATATATAAAAATTAAGCCGATATCTCTTCACAAACTCTAATGTGAGAACTCTTTAATGAACTAAATAATGCGGTTGTGAGATCCTAAGATTACATAGTAACAGAACGAAACCTATTTTGGGAATATTGTTAATTTTTGTTAACTTATTTTGGTGTTATCACCAATAAATTATTATCAAATTGGAACACATGAAAAGGAAAATTAATGTCATAATCAAACAACTTTATTTACAGTTATAACTTTACTACAGTAGAATTTCGCTAATCCGGGTCCATAAAAATTGCTGCTAATCCGGCTTACTGGTACAATCAGATTGCGTGACCCATATTAAAAATCCATTAAAAATCTTGTATGGTTAAATATTTTTTTTATCAACATCAACTAAATAAAAATTAAGCAATAATCTACTGCTTATTAAATTTATCTATTAATTAAATACCATACAAACAAATCTCATAGGTGAATAAACCACATAGGCAAATAACCCATAAATGTGATTTACTTCACTAGACCATACAGCATATAACATACATTCTTTAGAATGTCTATATATGCCGAATCACATAGACATATAGACATATAATTAATATTTTCTTATTATTTTTTATTCTTAATTATTTAATTTATGATTAGTAATTCTAATTTTATCCAGATTAAGAGGGAATAAGAACCAAACCGTGATTTAGTGAGGCCGTGATTTCAATATGGATGATCTCAAAATTATTTGATACCAGTTAAATTTCAAATGCTTACGTATATCAAATTATTATAGATTTGATCCGATAAAGAGCCTTCAGTCTTTTTTAGTAAATGAAATACACCCAGCGCTGCTGATGTTATTGGCAAGATGATGTCAAATAGCAGATTTTAACTACCTTAGAGATATCTCTTTGAAATTTATACTAATCTGCCTCACTAAAATGGGTCAAAGGAAAGGAAGAATATTTCTGCATCAGCAGAAGCACGAACTTTTTCAAAAACGGATCGAATAAGAATATGTTGATTTCAGGTTTTGATAAAGGGTACTTCTGTGAACTATAAGTTAGAAAGTTCTCGGCAATGTAAATTACTTAAAAAGTGTTACACATAGAAAAATAAAAAATATTAAATTAGCTTTGATAATTTCTAAAAAAAAAAAAAAAAAGTGATTATGAAAGTGATTATATCGAAATGAAATGAAATGTTGCGACAAGAAATAAAATATCTTAAGGAAATAAATAGTGATCACAAAAATAGTGGTCATTGGAAAGTGGATCCATAAAAACAATGTCCAGTATTAAGGTGTGATAATATTCCTATTATCACTGTCATTATATACCATTATACCATTATCGTTAGTAAATCCTAATCAATGTGAATAACTAAAGAAAAGTTTTACATAAATAAATTGGGCAAATGAAGACTATTAAGATGAAGTATTTAACTAATGCAGTCACAAAAGACACTTTTTTCGAATGAAAGAATTTTTTTAACCTGAAGAGAAATTAGTAGGGACAAAAATTAAAAGATAAAGGTTAGATAGGTGTGGATTATTAGTTTATAGCAAAGTAATTCAACTTTTCAATTGAATTTAATGTATCCACGAAGAATTTTTTCAAATCAATGTCTTTCGTCTAAGAAGACTTGCTTATAGACCAAATTGGGTTGGTACAGATTAGAAACTATTTAATTCGCCATGCAAGTAGAAAACTATCTCCATCATTATCATTATGTCCTCTACCATTTCGGAACGCATTTTAATATGATTTCAGTTATAAAACTTTGTGTGACTTATGAAAGCGAAGATGAAAATTATAGAGTTGGGGTTGACCCATGTGTACATGCATTTCAATTTTTTATATAGAGTAATTATATGTAAAATAAATCACTAAATTATTTTAAATTATTTTAATAGGAAAATTAATAGGTAAATTAATAGGTAAATAATTTATTTTAATAGGTAATTCAAAACTTTCAAGAGGCACTCAAATTTTTGTTTTTGATGTGCCTTAAACAGGGACCGTAACAGTTATCATAAAAAAAATAAAAATCATCTTATAACTGTTATCATTTGCATTTTAAAATAAAACTCAAAACTTATTTTTGAGTTTTAAAATAAAAAGCAAATTTTAAGAGTTATTTCTGCGCGAAAAAATAAGAGGCATATAATAATAATTATTTTTGATGAATATAATAAAAATCAAATTTAATTATTATTTTTTAAGTTTTATTTTAAAACGCTCATATATAAAAAGCATGCATAATGTTAGGGATAAAAGTTGTAAGAATGATAACTATTTACTTAAATAAGAGTTCAGACAAGTTTTTGTTGCTGCTTTTTTCCATAAAAAATTTTAAAATAACTGTTATTTTCGGTCCCTGGTCTAAAACGAGTTTTAGTAATACGTACTATACATATGTTTTTTTTACCCTTTCATTTATTATTATTTATAATAAATAATACATTTAAAAATTGGATAATAAAACAATTTGGATTTCGATAAAAGAGTAGAATAACTGCAGTTTATATTTTTTAGTCTAAAACTTTCCAAATTCCTGAAAACAATCCTTACTTGATATTATTAAATATTTCTATTCCTAATTATGAGTTTTTTTTTGTTAGGAATCATATCAAATATCGAACATAAACTCTACGCGCGAGAATGTTTATTTTATATATTATTAATATCTTTCTTATATAAAAAATTTATAAAAAAATGGTTAAAAAAAACATCGATTTAATTGAAACTTTTAACTAGAATTAACTGTATTTGATAATGATCTGTTGCGTTTGAAACTATTGATTCATTATGAAATTTATTTTGAATATATTATGTTAAGTATTAGCATTTTAAGTATATAAAAGCTCCGTGCACTTTATATGAATTGTATATGTTATGTATAATCACGTATAATCCTTCTCAGTCATGTTTAAAGATACAATATCGTGCATGAGCATTTTACAGCAATTTCAATTGCTTACTAACAATTGAAAATGAAACCAAGAATTAGAATAGTGAAATTAAATATGAAACAAAAACAAACACTTAACTGCAATCCTCTTAAAATTAGTTTTTTTTCTCTATCTTCTGGAAGATGCAAATACTAACATATCGTATATACACTTAATATACCACCTTATACTTTGGAAAACCATATATAGTTAAGACTTACCTTAAGACTATTATAAGGGCGCTCAACCCTTAGTTTGGCCTCGATAACATCACGAATTTCTTGCTTCTCATCATAGGGCAGCGATGACATCGACCATGATGTCTTTATGCTAGTGGGCATAGTATCGGCACCGGTAGTAGTCATGGCGGCACCACCGACTACCTCAGTATCAAGTGTTCCATTGGTGAATTGTTTTGCGTGTGCATTTTTATTGCGTTTCTTTTTCTTCAGGGAACTACTTGCGCTGGTTGGCATAACGAAACATTTTCCTGTCGCAACAGAGGGGCTTTGGGATGCATCATTCGATGTTAATACTGTTGCATTTGTTTTTGTTGTTATTGTGGTGTTATGTGTTGGAGTTGTTTCAGCTACTATTTCAGTTACGTTTTCAGCTGTTGTGTTTGTTTTTGTCGTTATTGGATTTAAATTTGTTGGCGTTACATTCATTAAATCATTCGCCATGGCCACTGTTTCAGTCTCTTGGTTGCTGGACGTCGTTGCAATTTCTGCTGCATCAGACGCCGTTACTATTTCGTTTATTTCGTTGTTTTGAGCATTTTGAATTTCGTTGGTAGTTGGTTTATCTTCGGTAATAGTTTTTGCCAACATTTTAGTTTGGATTGTGGCAAATTTGGTTCCGTTTAATTTTTTCTTTATTTTTAATTAAAATAATTAAAATTTTATGTTTAAAATTTGCATGTCTGCTGCCATTTTCGTTTGCAAAATTTTTTTGCAATTGTTTTGTGTATTTATTTTTTTTTTTTGTTTTGGTATCCAAAGTGTGTGTACCACTTATTGACTTCCGCTTTTCAGTACTTTTCGCAAAGTTTTTAAAGTTAAATCTGCAAAAAAAAAAAATAAAAAAATATTTAAAATCGTTTCAGTCTACTGATCTCTTTAATCGTACTAAAGGTTATTAAACCAAATTCATGTGAAATAATTAAACTTAAGATTATTCTTTAAATATTTTAAAAAATTACAGATATGACAAGAACTTGTCTTGAAAATATTTTTTTAGATGCAGAAAAAGAAAAAGAATGTTATTTAAATTGAATATAATTTTTTTAATATATTTATTGCATTTAGAGATAACAGCAAATCCAATAAATGAAGCACTTCTTTTTTTTTTGTTATTGATTTACATTACACTCTACATTTACATTATACTGTACATTAAGCAAAACAAAATATATTTCCGATAGCTAAAATGCATCAAACGCTTTCAACTGCTTAAAACCATATCTATTCCTTTCCATATAGGAAAGGTCTGTTATTTCTACCACTCCTCCGCTCCTCTATATAATCGTGATTACAGTAGCCCCCTTCATGAAGTACACAATAATTCTTTATAGCTTAGATATATTTACTTAATAAATGTTAAGCCTTTTAATCATCTACTTCATTTCTTTCCCTGTATTCTGGAATGAGGTTCCCTGCCTCGGATCTTGTTTTAGTAGGTTCAAGTCTCACAAAAAAAAACCATCTCTAATAAAATAAATTGGAAAAAAAAAAAATAATGACTGAAATAACATTTCAATAAGGAAGGAATGAAAAAATATGAGCTTATATTTTAATCCAAATTTGATTTATTATTAATTAATAAAAAAAATCACAAGCATTAGAATAAAGATGGGACATATTAAGGGTATATTCTACGAATCGTGTTACTACATCCATGATTAAACTGCGGAATGCAAGAAGAAGAATTATTCACTTAATAAAAATAGAGAGCTAGGAATTGAGGAAGCCCAAAAGTGCTAGAAGAAGCTCACCCTGAAATTTTTCCGTATATAAAATATCAGAAAAAAGATTGTGAGTAACTTGTGTGCTAGAAAAAGAATAAAAAAAAGTTTAGGGATATAGCAGTTATTACTCTTACGTTATAACTAATAATCGCAATAGATACATATGTCTCTCAAACATGCATGTCATCAAAGGCAAGTAGAAAACGAATAATCTGCTTATAATAAAAGAGTTTAGTCTTATTTATACGACATAATTTTTACGATTATGAGTTTAACATAATCGTAGCTAAAAATATCATTATACTGAACCTGACTTACGTGAGGGTTAAATTTGCTCTTTTAAAGGTACACAAGTGCAAGGTATTTAAACTTGTAAACAAGTAACTTAACGAGAGCGGCACTTAAATATAATTTCCATAATCAGGCACTTTTTATTATTTAATGCATTCATGCTCTGCCAACTATTAAGAGTAATTACTAAAATTTTGCAGGAACTTAATTTAATTTTTTTAATGCTTTTGTATATAAATAGAGCATTAGGTGAGGTTCAGCAAAGATTCTGAAACGCGATTTGGATATCACGTAATCCTCATCATAACACAGTTGTTCAATGATTTTACTGCTGAATGTAAGGTACAATGTCAGTAGCTAACGTCCCAATACATAGTCATCCGAAACATCTAAACAGTGGAAACTAAATACTTTATACCGTATTGGGTGGGTGGTGTTGGATATTGCATTAGTTTATAATCCAGTTGTTATCAAATATTGTCATCAAAGCTGCTGGTCACTGATGTTTGTTTACTGGTACTGTTACTGTCGTTGTCAAAGTCGCCACATATGCAGGTTCAGGGATACCACAGTCAATGGGATAATCTGTTATATGAAATATATAATTGATGACAGAAGCATAGAATATTACCCATTTGGTTATTTGCATAACCAAAATCAATTCAAACATTTTAGCAATCGATTTCGATTTAATTAAACAACACAAACTCATTGAAAAATTCGGAATTGTTGAAATTTCAAAAAAGGACATTAAATTTAAACAAATATTAATTAATTAATTTGCTATACTATTTAGTATTTACTAAAATTTTGGATTCGCACTATATGATAGTATACACATAGTCAACTAATTTTGTTTATTTGAGAACACAATGTGCATGCGTTCCAAAATTTGAAAACTAATAGACCGATAGACCTCACACTTTGGATTCGTCAAACTGATCAAGTCTACAATATCATCTTTACAAACTTAACGTTCTCCTATCTACAGTAGTGTCAATACTTTAACAAGGTAACTTAAAATCAAATAATCGAAAACTTAAGTCTAATAGAAAGAAAAACAATAAAATCGTAGACATAGCACAATAGTCGATTATTATATTCAAAAATAAATTTGATTCGTGCAACTACCGGAAAATATACTTAACATTAAACATAGTAATCCAAATTATTTTTCCAAGATAGCTATTTCGAACATGGTAAAACATATTCATTTCAACTACCTACAAATTTTATGAACCATTAAATTTGGTAATAAAAATTTATTTATTCTGTTTGCGTTAAGCTATGGTAATACTTTTTTATTTATTTATTAATTAACATAAAAACATAAAGTATTTTTCGTTATATTTCTCGTTATTTATTAAAATTATTCATTATTTAATTAAGCAATTTTAACAATTCACAATAATTATAAATAAGTAATACTGAACCCAAATTATATATCTATATAATAAATTAATACTAATATCATACCATTGATATATATTTTTATACATATATTGGATTAGTTGAAACAGATGAATTAATTTAATACCGTCCACTAAAATTATTTCAATTCAAAACAATGTCTCAATCAAATTTCAAGCTATAGTCGAACTGATCGAAAGCGTTTTAAATCTCTAACAAATAATATAATATTATTAAAGTTTCTCAGTTAGAATTATAAAATGCATATAATAGAATATAATTGCTGGATTGTATTTGGATTTGTTTTAAAATAGATACGGAAAGGAAATATTTCTTTAAGTATTAAAGTCAATGTCTTTATATTTATATGTTTAGAACTACAACTTATACCATAAGTTGATACTAGAGAAATTAGTCAACCTAATATACCGTGAAAACGTTACGAATACAAATATAATCCAAAAAATATGAAAAGCAAGCAAATTAGTAGATTTCGAATAAATGAATATAGTCTCTCTCTCTTTCTCTCTCTCTCTCTCTTGTGTTTGTTCTACATATTACATCCTGTACAAAAAACTATTGTGATCGTATATTTTCATATAAAATTGTGATTAACATACAAACGATTAAATTACAATCGTGGACCAAAAGTTAGAACTGCTCAAGAAACCTGGAATTGTTTACTCATGATTAAAATCAAACACATTAAATTGATTATTAAAGTAGCTTGGTAAAGAGCTGCAGATACAAATATACATTAGTATATAAAGATTTTGTACAAACCAATTATTTTCATTTAATTGTACAATTTTGTTATAAAATAAATACTTTGTCATATACTATCACCAAAAATTCAGAGGGTTTAGATGTGTAATAAAAGCTTGACATCGTTTGGGTTAAGTTCATTTTAAATAACTCACATCGATAAGAAATTGTTATATCTTTTGCAGATATATCCGACTACTTTTTACAATTTACCAACTGTGTTTCAAAACTCATTTTGTTCGAAGCGAGGGTGGTATCTGTCTATTAATTTTAGTAAAACTGAAAATACTTCCACATCACTACACATCTAAACTGTATCTAAATTTTCTCACAATCTTTCTTAATCTCCATATTCCATAAAATTGCAAAATTGGAAATCAATCATTGCCACTTTATGAAACATATGGCTGTAAAACATATGGTTTGTAAAAGATAGTTTCAGCAAAAGGCTCTTTAGCCTTTCACCATTTTTAAATATTAAGTAATGCTTGAGGCTTTTCAAATTATGCAAATAATATGTAAATATAAATACATATAAGATGACAGCAACTATTGGATTAGATGCCAATAGAGACAGGTTATAAATTCTCATCTAAAAAAAACTTTTATTATTTAGATTTTAATATGAAAAAAACACACAAATAAAAAGGATCTCTCTAATCTGAAGCAGTTTCTGTTTCACTGGCTTCTGTTTTAGCGTAGAGCAAAATGAATGAGAATCTCTCACCGAATAGATAGAGGAAAAGTAAACTGTTCCTTTTTTCTGTATAAACGTTGCTCTTAATAGGCAGAGAGCCAACTATACCAGCCAATTTGCTCTTCAATAAATTTGGTTAGTAAGCGAAAGTTAAAAATAATAACCCTCTTAGGTTCCTAAGAGGGTTATGGACCAAATATAACGATGCTCCCTATACAAACAACAGACCAATTAGTTAATAAATTTAATAAAATATTAACAAAATGAAAAGTAAACGCTAATATGGAAAGTCTCCACTTGATTCAATCAATCAAATAATTCAGATTTTGTTTAAGTGACATTCATGCTCAATTTAAACAATCTACACTTAACATTTTTACTTGTTTTAATATAATTTTTTTTATAAATGTTAGCACTTAAATAAATACATATTAGTGAATTCTATTTATCTTTTTAAGTAATTGTACATAATAAATAGTTTACCTTAAACAAATTATTTAGATTGTGCAGTTTTATTGAATGTTAATTATATTTGAAAATGTTTATGGCAATTATACAGACAATATAATTTAAAAAGACTTAAAAATTACTTAATATTAAAAAGAATTTGAAATTCATACATTACATAAACCAATGTTGAAATTAAAAGCTATTATATAAGTATTATATAAGCTAGCTTATCAAACAATAAACAAATTTCGTGAACAAATCCAACAAAAGACTTTAATGACTAATAGATTTTGCCGCCGCTGGCAAAGAAGGTAATCAGAGATACAAAACGTAAATAACTGAAAATTAGCGTGAAGTCCAATAAACACCTAACGCCTTCTTCATATAGAAAGTTATCTACAAAGCAAATCTACAAGAACAAAAATTTTAAATTAAATTTATTACTTAATATTCAAACAAGAAAAATTTATATAATAAACACGAT